TTAATATAGCCAACCGAAATAGTTCTTGATGCTGTTCTGCTAATTTAGCATGAACATAATCTTGTTGTGGACTGTGCCACACTCGTTTCCTGCGCAGGGTGGACATTTGTCTCGCATGAACCACATCAGCGCCAACAACCGTGGCAGCATTTACGGATAAGATTGCGGTTTAAGGACAGATTCCTGATTCTGTCGTCTTTCATAAAACTGCCAAAAACCTTATTATGAAAATAAATTGATGTTGAGTAGTGTCTCCGTTCTTAATATCCATGCCACTTCCTTTTTCATTTACCAAATATGGTTATTGTGAGTATAATCCGCTTCCTTAAATTGTAGGAAACTGTGACGGTAACTGCAGGGAGGGTGTTCAGAGGTTTGCTGCTGCTGCCTGTTTGAGACCCCTGCTCCTTAGCAGCGTGGGTCACTCCAGTTCTTTTCCCAGTCATTAACTATGGAGGAAACAAGGACACAATGAGCATGGCGAACAATGAAGAGGTGTCCTCAGTACGTTTAGCACAAAGGTCATTGGGAGAGTTCTCTCTGTGTACACTATCAAACGTTGCATGAATGACTATTGGTTCCTGAGCCCGTGCCAACCCCAGTGGTTAAATCGGACCAATGAGGCATCATCCGGGGCATGGACCAGAAGGTCATTCCCATGTTTTCCCATTTTAAAAATATCAACATTCGTATTGTGTTGGATACAGCTGGGGCTTTGTTTGGCAGCCTATGAACATCTGCGTTTCACATCTACAGCGTGGTGACTGAGAGCGGAGGGAGGGTTTGTCTTGGGCCGTGTGCCATGAGGAAGTTAGGACTTTTTCCTTAAGAATAACGACACACACAAACTATTTAGTTTCCTAAATAAGACATAGTTGGCAGATGCATGTATGTTTATATATGTTAAATAAAGCTTTTTCCTTTAACAATTTATTTGACAACAATATTGTTTAGCAGGACACAATAAATTAAAGAAACATAAACTTGATTCTTTTTTTTTTTGGTTAGCAGAACACCTGACCTGGCACCTGAGCTGTAGATAGCGAGGGGAAAATGTTGAATAGACACTCGTTGCCAGCCGACGGTGACAGAGATCTCAACACTTTTTTCTGCTGAGCACTATGGGAAACGAGGCTGTCATTCACTGACCCTCCTCTCTCCGACGCCCACCTCAGATTGCAATCTAGATTTGCATACATAGACATGCAAAACCTGTTACAGTAAAGAGACTGGTTTGCTCGGGAAAGTTTGTGGTTTTCCAACGACTGGCAGAATGTGATTCTGAAACTCAAGAAAAGCCCCAATAATAGGCAGTGTTTCTGCTTTCCATCACAGTCCCATCTTTGAACCAAAACACCAAGATTTCACACACATCAATGGCTCTGAATATTAATAGC